AAGTTTTGAAGGAATATGAAATTTCTACGTGCTCGTGAATTAATCCACGTTTTTTGAATAGTACGTATTCATCGACAAATATAAACAAAAGTCGACTTCAGCTGCACTGTAATGTTTTTATCACTAACTGAAGTTAAATTTATATGTAAGTTAACGGTATTATTTCACTTCCATTTACGAATCGCGAAAAATTTCGGTTATCATATGATAATATCCATTTAGACCGCTCTCTATTCTATTTGAAAGACATTGTTTTGTGTTACATCTGTGCATATGGATAGAATAAAGGAATCTTCTCCAAATGGATTGTGAAATGGATTTAAAATGCGTTCAGAAGAGATTTTTTCGTAACATCTGTACGTACGTGCGTCTTATGTCCGGTTAAGGTTTTTATGCCTTTTGTTAATCTGCATGCAATAGTTGTAGAATTATAAACAATTTAAAAGGTGTTTAAGTTCCGGTAACCCTAACGACACCGGCATTAGTTTACATTTGAAGCTTAGTAGCATAGTGAATTACGTCAGTTTCTGCACGAGCTTCATTGTCTTTTAGCAGAGTGGGGCGGAATGTTTTGTGCAGCGAGAACTATCCTTCTACCTAATTCTAATAACTGAAACTCTTAATTTTAATTGTAAAAATGGTTTTTATTAACGGTTTTAACTGTATTTGGTGTTTTAGGTTTTTCTGTATTTTGCAACTTTTAATGAAGATGTTTTGAGATTTTATGTACTTTTCTTTGCCGCGAAGGGAGAACTAACTGATTGAATCAGAAATATATCTCTAATGAAATTCGAGGAAATACGTTTCAATAAAATACAGCAAAAAATGTGCATAGTTTAATACTCTGTGCAAGGAAGTCATGTGGTATCCGCGAATCCCGTGTTCGAATGAATGTTCGTGAAGTTCGAATTCCGTGAACGGGCTGGCTGCATGAGTGTTTTTGTGGTTTTCCCCATGTGTAACGTGTATACGAGCCAGTTTCCTTTAGAAAGTCCTCCACGAAGGCATCCCCCCCCTTAGGCAGATATCCCTCGAGGCTTTGCCGTAATTAAATAACCTAATCTAACCTAACATGTGGAATCGGCATGAGACTTCTGTAAATAATAAGTAAGCAGTATTTTATACAGGGTATTTCACCAGTTAGTCCTCTCAAAAACTCTGTCATACTTTTTGATGCACTCTCCATAAACATGGTTTGGATTTAGAACAATGAGTTTTAGTGTAAAAATCTAACATCGGTACAAAAAGTGCTAAATTTGTACTTTATGTCGGCTTCCAAGCATGCTCGAACGGACTGCAATGTTTCTTCCAGTAGTATGGATTACTTCAGCTGTATACTTTAGTAAGCTTAACATTTCATGTTTTCTTATAGGAAATAAACTCGGGAAGAGTTAAAATTTAAGAAAAAAATAGCTACACTGTTCGAAGAATAGTTTCATACGAAGAAGGCGATCACCATATTGGTGTAAAATATTGTCCCAGATCTGATGACGCACCACTCTCCATTTTACTAATTTTTTTAGAAATTCGTTTTTATGAACCCGTCATTCCGTATATTAACTCTTTGAAATCCAGACCCTTCGCTAACCTGTATCCTCAAAATACTGGACGGCCCGAAATAGTTTTCCAGTTTCACAGCAATTCCTCCCCTCCCTGTCATTAACTCAGATAATAGGTGTGAAGATTTCCAATGACATTCTTTGTATTTTCTAACAAAGATTCCATAGCCTTTGACCGTTCGTTAAAAACTTCTGAAGTTCAGACCAACAGCCTTTCGGCTTGTTATGATCACGACTGAGATTTTGTTTATTTTCGTATTTATAGTAAGGAATAAATTGTTAAAAAAATATAATCCTTAAATTTAAACTGCCCTTTATTGGTTGTTTAAGCTAAAAGCACATGTAACCACAAAGAATCACCAACGAAATGTCACGATCGACCAAAAATAATAAAACCTCTTAGGACAAGCTGTCTGCCGTAAAGTGATACAATGCTTGGGGAAATTCACCGCTACTGCATACCTTAGGAGGAGGGAAGAAAAGAAGATTACAATCTCGGCCGTTTTCGGGCGGTTCTGGTTGTTTCAATGTAGGGCCGTGTCGGGCGGACTGGATGTGAAGGAGTTGAGCAATAACATTGTATAAGATTATCCGTTCAGCAATAAAATGCATAGCCATCCTGGATGATTTTCAAAGACTCAGCGACACACAAGCACACTGTCAGTCCATTTAGCAGAAATATGTGATAACGAGACATTACTCTGCTATGCACTATTTTACATTTCAATGACTAAGGATTACTTGAAAGAAAGACACCCGATTTCTGTTGAGTGTAAAAATTGGTACTTATACGTAAAAATCAGTAGTTTAGTGTAAGTACTTTTGGTTCTTACAGAAGACTGCTTGGTGCTACTTTGGTAGAGAGTTGCACGGATTTTTGGCGATTTACGTTGGCGCAATTGTTGGCGCGATTTTTACAAACGTCAGCCATCTTGAAAAACGCTGTTTTTATGCATAGTAAAGTATTCGAAACTTAAAAAAATAAATAAATATCGTTAAAGTAATGGATTAATTTTTTGTTGAAAATGTCGTTTTTTAAGATGGCAGGCAGTGTAAATAAATACATTTACTATGAGTATAAAATACTAAAGTAAGGTTATTATTACTTTCATATAGCAAAGAAGAGAATAAGAACACGCTATAAAACATTGGGCCAAAGTTTAATTAGATTAAAATTACTTAAATGAATATCGAATTAAAAACCATCATACCAACATTTAAAAGAATTAGAATATTATTAAATTCAAATACTTTAAAATACGTTTATAGGAATAATAACATTAAAACATATGACAATAATTATCTCACAATTTCTGAAATAGGTATTAATTTTTAAACAATTGAAGTACAATTATAAAATAAAAGAAAAATATTGTTTACTTTTTTGAGTGGGTTAAACTGTTGTTTATTGATAAGTACCACAAAAAAGTCAGAATCATAATTTAGATAAATCTTTGAAGGAATTCGAAGAAAATAAATTTTAAAACGGCGCGGAAATGCACGAATTGTCAGTAACCAATCAGGGGAGCTGATTACGCTCGTTAATGCAAAAATATTCTAAAACCAATCAGAGAGCTTATTACATCACGGCTAGAAATAAATTATTTTTAAATTCATATACAATAAAATCATTTTTTTTTAATGCAAATTAAATGTATTTAATATTAAGAGGCCATTAATGTTAAAACATTAGATTAAATTATACATATTAAAACGAATTACTTTTAAAGTAAGGGACGTCTTGATTACATCATCCACACATAAATTCATAAATATGAAATATAAAAATTTTATTTTCAAATAAATGCAAAATAAATTGATTTTAAATATTTAAAAGCCATAAATAATTTTGACACACGGAATTTATGCACAATAAAAACGCAGATTTTTTTAAAAAAATACAACAGATCGTTACAAAATCACTTCCAGCAAGGGTTACCATAAGTTGTATTACTCGCCAAAGGAAAATCGCCAAAATCCGTGCAACCGTCTACCAAAGTAGCACCGACTGCTTTCTGAAACACCATGCATATTTCTTACCTTAAAAATATCTTAATACTAAAAAACCCCTTTGCAATTAAAATGTCATTCGGGGATAGAGGAATATTTAAGAGACTCATTCACACTTTCAGGGATGGAGTGTCTTCTTTAAAAAGTGACCAAGCTTTTAGCAGAGTAAAATGCATTTTGAGAATATTACCTTTTTCATGTGATAATAGGAACATGATAAATTGAAAAAAAAATCTGATGTGTACATCACATGACTTCCTTGCACGGAATATTAAATTATACGCATTTTGTTCTTGAATTCAGTTTAAACTGAGTGGAGAATTAATCTAACTCGTCGACAGCGCATAAACCACAAGAGAATAAAGGCACGCTCTAAAATTCACTATATTTGTTACATACCGACTCTGAATGCACAAATTTATATCATTTGAAGAATTATCTTTCGTTGCACATCTTCTATCAAATACATATAAAGCTGAATGTCTGCCGAGATTAAGCAAAAAACAGAAAAGAAAGTTACCACGATTCAGTATTTCCATTCAATAATTCAGTTCTTAATCGCGACAAGGCAAAAATCATAAAAACTCAAAATATCTGCATTAAAAATACGAAGTAATCTTAAAACCTTTCCTCGACAAAATTCCAAAGATTAAAATGATAATTCGCAAATAATAAATGAGGCGTTATCTTTGTTGCTGCGAAGCTAATTCTCATTGGCAACAATCTACTTCTGCTTTTCAAATGTAAAACAGCAATGGCCGCCATCAAAAAAAAAAAATATTAAGCTTAGCAGCACTTAAACAACTTTAAAATGTTGAAATCAAAAATATTAAATACATTATAAAGCATAAAAACCTTAACCGGCGAAAGAACAATATAATCCTCTTTTTAAGCAAAAAATGTACAATTTCAAACATATAAGAGTCAAGAAACTGAGATCACTGTGCCGAGTAACAGAGGGAGATATATATAGATATAGTATTTATATACGTTGGTGGGGCCGATTGCAACCAAAATACGAGGTGCACTCTACATGTTATACAGTCCTATGTACAAAATTTCAACGTTCTGAGGTACTCGTTTTGGAGTTATGCGAGATACGTACGACGTACGTACTTCGTCAACGCCACGACAAATTCTCTTCAGAATTCATTTAAAGCAGTTTTATAATTTTTTTGGAAAAAAGCATGTTTTTATTTGTTCTTACGTGCAGATATCACGCCAAACGTCGTAATGCATTCGATAGCTGTCAAAATGGATATTTTCGTTGAAATATGCTGCCTCAAAATTTTCGCGATTACAATACTTTCTTTTTACTTCGTACAAGGAAGCAAAAATATTACTCTAAGTTAGAAATATGAAGCCTTTTGTATTATGTGAAAATGTTTTTATAAGTACGATGAGATATTAATATGTACTTCTAAATTTCAGCATATTGTGATGGGTACAGATCTCTGAGACAAGCATGCTCTGTCATTAATGCCGACGCACCTTTATATTCTTTATTTCGTGGTGAGTATTTGAAAGCTTTTCTAATTAAATACATATGATTAAATCTAAATAATTATAACTACTGTGTATGTAACATAAATTTAAGACATGCCTATGAGTGCAAATTAGTTGGCACAAAGCGAGTGTTTTAATAATTTATGTACACTGCGTAAACAAAATGGCACAGTTCTTAAGTCTCCCGTTCTACTGAGCCAATTGACAAAATTGAAATTGTGTTTTTCATGTCTCGAATGCGTGATTTATGATATATCTTAGATTTATATACAGCATTGTTCTAACATAGGTATTTTTGATACAAAATCGGACGTTTTCTGAAATAACATACAATTGTTTTCCATATTTCCATTCTATGATTCAATTTGTACCTAGATATTAAATTTTGTAAAATTCGGTGCGAATTTGACAGAAATTCAAGCATTTATCATGGGGCATTTTTTCAGTTTTCGCCAAGAATAATTCACTTGGCGAACTTCTTAATATATGGCAACCAATTTTCCTTTCCCTTCCATTATGCCGGGACGGAAAAAAAGGTACATCGTTCCTACTTTCAAGTAATTTTAGTAAAGTGCCTAAACCACATTTGATGTTTTATCTCTTTCAACAAATATGGCAAATTTCAAAACACGCCAATATATAAGTTCACGTGTATCTTCGGATATATATGCGTATAAGCTGAAGAGCAGCAATTCTTCAAGCACTCCGAAGTCGTCGAAATTAATTTCTTATAACTTACAGGGTTCTGTTTGTGTAGAAGATGAATATCCTTCAGAGCCTACTCGATTGACAACCTCCATAACTTGTGGGCATTTAAGATAATAACGTACGGATTTAAAGTAATGTAGTAGGAGACTGCACAGAATAGTCTTCTTAAGTTGGCTCAAATATTTTAACGCCGCGATTTAACGTTGGCTAGCGAAATTACTAAAGCCGGAATAATCGCTGGCAAAGTTGAGCAATCAAACGAAATCTGCAGGCGACGCTGCCAAAAACTCTTAACACTAAAACATTCAAAACCATCAGCTTAAATTCTCAAACAATTAATTTGCTATTTAGTGAGGACTATATAAAAGAAAATATGTATTAAGGATTTTAAACAATAAGCGGTATTTAATTCGAAGTTCCACTGACTTTGTTAGAGAGCCAGAGATCCTGAATAGCGCGAGTTTGTTTTTTGGCTACTACACTCACTCTAAGCTATTACAGTATAAAGTCCATAATCCGGACTCGTCGGAACTTTGGCGATTCCGGATTAAGAATTTTTTCGGATTATAGATCATCACATTAAATCTGGTATGATGGCATGCAGAAATTATACAATTAAACATATGAAACCGTAATTTATGAAATAAAGAGCAATTAGGATCTAAAGGGTATCGAAATTTATAAAAAAAGCTTAATATTTATTTGTTTACTTTATTAAACATTTTTTCAAGTTGTTTAAGTTGCTTCGTTTTTTGTGTTAAACGCGCATGCGTAAACATTAAACGGCATGCGCAAAGCATACCAAAAAATGTTTGTGGCTTTGAGGTCCGGATTATAGATCATTCCGGATAATGGACGTCCGGATTACAGACTTTGTACTCTACTATGCTCGGCCGTATTTCAGGCCAGTTTAGTTGACATTTAGGGGCCAACTACTTAGAATTTTCATAGCTTCGGCTATATCTTTTTAGTTAAGCGTTAGTTAAGTTTTGTTCCTTTTATATTTGAGTTCAAGCCCAAGTGGAGGCTTTGCTGTACGCTCTGAGAAAGGGGCCGACTGTTTAAATCTTATTTTGAGAAATAAAGGGTAATTAACCCTTCTTGAGTTTACGTCTCTGTTTCTGAACTAAAGCGATTATTCGCTTACCAGTTCACGAGGTTCGTATACACTTAGTTGTTCGAGAAAAGTTTGGAACCCTACAAAATATTTAATTTGCAAAATTAGATTTATTTTTAGTTTATCGTTAATAGTTTTTGTAGTGCTCAAGGCAATGCTGGACATTTCCAAGATTGCTTTCTATTGCGACATGTTAGGGAAAAACATGGTAACATAAAGGGATTTTACTGCCGCAATAAAGAGTTAAGATTTGCAAAGGATTTGATGACCTTCATAAATGGCCATAGAATAATACTGGGAATTTTGATTTGATGATTTAACTGTATCTTTGTTTTAATCTCTGTTGGCTGTGCTGCATTTGCCATGAGGCTAATTATTATCGGCTAGGAGTGCTGCAGTACAGTCGTACGTTACATTATATCGATAGCACCAGCAGTATGCTTCACAGCGTTCTTTCAAAGCCTTCTCAAACTTAATTTCCTTGTTTCTTACGGCGAGAAAAGATAAATATTCGTTATTTATAGGATGATTTAAAAGCGATATAAAAATTTGGGGCGCCATGCCCGGGCGTTGTGAATCTAGGTAGTAATCAGTTCAAGAACAGAAGTATACTGTTTTATGATTGTAACAGTGGAAAAGTATTGGACAATGTTAAGACAAGGTTAATAACAATGCAAAAGTACCTGTTCTCTAAATGATTCATATTCAATTCTAAACTCAAGAAATGGGAAAAGAATTGCCATCACGAACGCTTTTAAAGTCGTTCATTTGTCAAAGACAGTTGCAAGCGCTTTCTAGAAGAGAAGTAACCCCCCTCCCTTTGCCCCGATGTTCGAAATTCTTCCCAGAGAGAATGCCCCATCGGGAACCCCCTACTCCACGCAGGTTTCTAACCAGAGCTGATAATTTTTCGCTGTAAAGAATGATCTTTTAAAAAGAAAATAACGGGAATAGGGACAAGGGGAAACAAATCCCTTGTCTCTTCGCATGTTATCTCCTGTCCTTCCTCCGGTGCAGAGGTGCTGAAGCGTAAAATTGCAGTTCCCGAATAAACAGATTACGTCTGTGTCGTAATTCACTGTTTATCGCAACCTGGAAATTACCGCCACGTTTCTGCTCGGATTAACAGAGCTGCAGACACACGGGAGTGAGTACCTTTAACGTATAAACAGGCTTGTGGTGTTACCATTTTCCTAGCATCTTGGAAAGCTTTTTGGGGGCTGGCATAGTTAATTAGAATAATTAAATATTGCTGCTTCATGCAGAAAGAGACTTGGGGGCGAGGGAAAAGACATCTCAGGACACTTTTCTTGAAGAAAGTGTGAGCGCAGATCGAGTGAGTTTTAAATTAGATACCGTGAGTAATGCGTCGACGGTAATGGTGCATTCGTAGAATCTCATATTGTAATTATTGCATTAATAATGGCATTAGTTGCGGATTTATGCAACATAAATTGTTATGCTTTTGCAGAAACAATTAACGGTCATGCGTTACGAGAGTTTCGGAAGCTAAAGGAAGGCTTCTGCAAGGAATAAAATTGTTCATTAAATTAAATATGTATCTTATATAAAAATATTTCTTCTTTTTTATTTATTTATTCATTTATTTTTGTTGTTCCACGACATCTTGAGAAATATGTTTTAAAGATATCGACATCGCAATCTGTCATCTTTCGTTAAATAATTAATCTTCCTTAAAATATTCCTGATATATTTTTGAGATCACACAGAGAAAATATTGTGTTCCGGCGCTAATGGTACATTAATTTCATCAATTAGTTTCAGCAGATCAACAATTCTATTTTTCTAAATGATCAACAATTCAATTTTTCTGAATGAAATACCATCGCTTTACCCACAGTGCCATCCATCTGTGAGACTCCACCAGGACAAAGCTAGCAGTCACACATCAAAACCCACTGTCAATTTCCTAAAATAAATGGAACAAAAAACTGGTGTCAAGGCCATACCCTTCACTGATATCCCTACTAAATCTCCCGATATGTCAGCTATGGATTTTTGTACTTTCGGACTTTTAAAAACTGCATTACCCAAACGTTGTCCCCAAACCTTAACAGGACTCTGGAAAGCTGTTCGGGAGGAATGGGATAGAATATCTCTTCTGCCACTTCAAAAGGCATTATTATCCTGGAAATTGCGGTGTTGAAAGATAGTTCCGAATAAGGGGATGTCAAATAGAACATTTAAACCACAAGAATTTTATGTAATTTAGTTTTGTGAATACAATATACATCGTCTAAAAAGTGTGTGAACAGCCTCTGTATAATGATAAGTAAGTGTGATGTATAACAGTTGACTTGAACCAGACTTTCTTGGTTGCAAAACTTTGTAAATATGTATTGAAATGTATTGTTGAATTTAAAGTTTTGAATTGAATTAACGAATTTTGTTTTGAACTGTTTTTTAAAATATCATTAAATATTCTTTAATGATATTTTGAAAAACGGTTGTTTTTGCAAATTTATTTATTTCCTGTGAACGTAGTCCTAGTCTCAGAGCTCAAATTGTAAGGATCCGGTACTACTTAGTTTTCGAGATAAATTATAATTTCAGCCAGAGCGCACCGGAACCGTATATAAAAGGGACTTGTAATTCCAGCCAAAGCTCCAAATAAGGCAAGGCCCGATACATTTTTTTTCTACTTAACAATTTAAAATTATTAGTCCAAAGGGATTTGAGTCCCGAAGGACTATTAGTTTCGTTTTGGCATTTTGCGTCGGACTCATAAATGTCGGTTCACTTTTCAAACTGTTGCCACAAAATGTTAGAGTCCTGCATTATATTTGAAGAAATTAAATAATGAAAAATCTGCATAAATGTATGTATATTTCTCGTATTGTGATAAAACAACGGTACATAGAGTCATCGAATTTTGAATAACGTAATCCTCCAACGAATATGAGCATGTGGAAGACCAAATTTGAAATTTGAAATTTGTTTTATGATCGATTTCCTATTTTTTAAAACTTTGACGAATTTTTGATTAACAAACTCAAGGATTTCAAAGCGAGCAATGGCAACGTTGTGCAGAAAAAACATTTTTATCTCCAGCGCGTGAGTCTCTGTATCGGAAATTCTAAAGATATGCTCAATTTAAAATTATTTTCTGATATTGCCTTTGAGCTGAATTTAATGGTTTAAATGGGAAGAACATGATATT